GGCAGGCGGGAATCGAACTCATGCGGAAGTGGCTTCAGATTCTCAGTGCTGTGCTTTAACCCGCTGCGCCACCAGGGAGGGCCGTTAATTTTGTTTTTTAATTTATTATTTTTTCCTGATTGATTACCCTCACTCCTTCTGTGAAACCAGCCAATATTTTTCTTTTTTCTTCTGTTTTGTTTCACTGAGCATAATCCCTTCCAGCTCCATCCATGTTGCTGTGAATGGCATGAGTTTATCTTTTTTAATTACTGAGTAATATTCCATCACATGCCTATAGTATAACTTCTTGATCCAGTTATCTATTTTAGAGCATCTGGATTGTTTCCATATCTTAGCTATTATAAATAGTGCTTCAGAAAACACTGGGGTGCTCCTTTTGAATGAATGTTTTTGTGTCCTTTGGGTAGATACCTAGGAGTGGATTTGCTGGGTCATATGGAACCTCCATTTTCAGTAGGTTGAGGAACCTCCATACAGCTTTCCATAATGGTTGGACCATTTTGCAGTCCCACTGCAGTGCAGGAGCGTTTCTTTTTTTCACATCCTTACCAACATTTGTTGTTTCCTGTTTTTTTAATCTGAGCCATTTTCACTGGTGTCAGGTGGTATCTTATCGTGGTATTGATTTGCATTTCCCTGACTACAAGTGATGTTGGACATTTTTCATATACTTGTTGGTATTTTAGCTCTTCTGCCAGTTTTTGACTGCATTGTTTGTTTTAGTTGAGTCATATAAGCTTTTTGTGGATCTTTGTGATCAGTCCCTTATTAGTAGTATTGTGTACAAAAGTTTTTTTCCCCAATCAGTAGGATATTTCTTTGTTCTGGTTAATGTCTCTTTTGCTGTAAGAAGCTTTTAAATTTGTGGTATGCCCAGCTGATCATCATTTCCTTCACTTTCTTTCCTTTTGGGGATGTGTCTTTAAAGATGTTACTGAGATGTATATCTTGTAGTGTTTTGCCTGGATTTTCTTCTATATATTTTATGGTTTTAGGTCTTATGTCCAATTCTTTTATCCATTTTAAGCTGGTGGTTGTGCATGATGTGAGGTAGTAACCTATCTTCATTCTTTTGCATGTAGCAATCCAGTTTTCCCAGCACCATTTATTGAACACACTGTCTTTGATCCACTGCATATTCTTTGCTCCTTTGTCAAAGATTAGTGTCCATAAATGTGTGGGTTTATTTCTGGATTTTCTGTTCTATCCCATGGGCCCGTGTGCCTGTTTTTGTTCCAGTACCATACAGTTAATGGATTTGTAGTATATTGTGAAGTCTGTGCATGTGATATCTTCATTCTCCTTCTTTTTAGTTAGGAGAGCTTTGTCTATTAAAGGTTTTTTTCTGGTTCCATATGAATCTCATCAATATTTGTTCTATTTCTTTGAAGAATGTCACTGAAATTTTTATGGAATAGTGTTGAATCTGTAAATTGCATTTGGATGGCCATTTTGATATTATTAATTCTTCTAAGCCATGAGTAGGGATGTCTTTCCATTTCTTTGTGTCTTCTATTTCTTTTAACAATTTATAAAAAAGATTTATTTATTTATGCTTATAGAACTGGGGTACAGGCCAGAAGTGTGATGGGTGAGAAGATTCACCAGAGACAGAGTGGGTAGCAGAACAAGCAGATCTACTGAAATACACTGCTGAGGGGAGCAACAGGCATGTCAGGAGAGGTCTGCCACGCCATATGGATCAGCTCCCTGGCAGGGGATCGAACTCATGTTGCAGTGGCTTTGGAGAGCTTCATAATGTGGTGCTTTAGCCTATTGTGCCACCAGGGAAAGCCCTCTTTTAACAATGTTTTATAAGTTTCTTTGTAAAGGTCCTTCATTGGGTGAAGTCCTTAATGAGACAGTAGTGTGGAGTTCAGGGTGGCTACTTAGCTTTTTGAATGTACATTTCAAAGTAACACAGGCATCCACAAAAGAGATGCCTTGGCAGAGTAAAAGCAGTAAACCAAGACTCTGAGCAATAATGTATTAGTGGTGTTGTAGTAGTAGAGCCAGAGTTGAAGCAGGCTAATTACTAGACATCTCTGCTTTGCTTATGTGGAATGAAGGAGTTTATTCTTTTTCAGCTGTTCTAAGTTTAAAATTAGGTTTTCCAGTACAAAGTTATCTTACCTGCTATTGTTTGTTCTTGAGAATGATGTGTCTTGGTTCTGGCAAGTCAGCATCTCTGAAATCAGATACCTATGATGGTCTTTCCTGTTTAGTCTCTTGCTCAGCAAGCACTTGTCCTGTCTTCATTACTCATATCTGATCAATATTCCAGTTCCTCATGATCTTTTAGCATAAAGGTTACTGCAAGATTTATAAGAGCAAGAAGTCTGAACTGCTCTGTGCAATAAATCCTGGCAATTAGCAAGACAAATGAAGAAATGCAGTGGTGGGGGGCACCCTTTTAGCAGGGCAGACAAAACAGAAGAGAGAAAATTTTGTTAGCCAAATTTTATAAAGATTTGGAACTACTAAGTTATATATCACTTTTGCAGCCTTGTCTGGTTTTTACAAATTTGAGGGTAAGAGGAGACATTACACAGCTTACCAATGCATAGTACAATAATTCTTTTGTTTTTTTAAAAAAAGATTTTAGTTCAGTATTTTACTCTAGAACAGTGGTATGGTTTGGGGGCAGATGTGTAGGAGACATGCAGTTTTGCTGAACTAGGACAGAGAACCATTTCTTTATCAGATACTGCTCTCCATCTAAAGGGGCTAGTAAAAGCATCCATACCAGTTGTGATCAATAAGTTTCTAGCTGGTTTAACAGACTTGTGAATAAAAATATTTAGTAGTTTATATTAATGGACATTTTCTAGAAATCAGATCCTAATAGAGAAAGGCCAAAGTCTTAAAGCACATTTGTTTGTTATAGTTTGTTTTAGTTTGTTATAGTTCTGTCATAACACTGTTATATACTCAATTGTTGCTTAAACGTAGTAACCCTGGCTCAAGGGAAAGAAATTACTTGATGAGCTTATGGGAAGGAAACAGAATGAAGATAGGAAAAAAAAATATCTTGAGAATAGCAAGTAGAATTAAAAAGGGCTTAAAGTTAGAAGTGGGGCAGGAAAAAAGTAAGTAAAAGTAGGGCTGGGGGCCCTCCCTGGTGGCGCAGTGGGTTAAAGCACAGCATTGAGAATCTAAAGCCACTTCCACATGAGTTCGATTCCCGCCTGCCTGGGAGGTGACCACATGGCATGGCAGCCCTCTCCTGACCCGCCCGCTGCTCCCCTCAGCAGTGTACTACCTCGATCTGCCTGTTCTGTTCCCCACTCTGTCTCTGGTGAAGCCTCTCACCGCCCCTGAGCCTCTGGCCTGTACCCCAGTTCTGTATGCACAAATAAATAAATCTTTAAAAAAAAAAAGTAGGGCTGGAAGGGAAGTGTTTAGCGCATACTCATGAATTACAATAAAAATAGTGGTTTGTATCTTTAAAACAACTGAAGTGTTTCTTCTACAAAGGTTGTTTTTGCTGTATCTTGTTTCCTTACTGTGATGTTCTTTTGTTAACATTTTTTTGAATATTAAAGGCTCGTGAAGAAGAAATGACTGCAAAAGTAATGGATCTACAGACTCAACTTGAGGAGCTGCAGAAGAAATATCAGGAAAGGGTACAGATGGAAGAGAGTCCTGGCAATGATAAAGTAAGAGGAACTGGACTTTGCTTCACATGTTTCTTAGAAATGTCACTTTTGTTGTTTGATGTGCCTCCTAACATACGTACTTCATTTTATCCTAACCAAAAACAAAACAAAACCCAAAAAACACCTCTTAAGAAAGATTCTTGCTTCCATTTTTATAGATACTGACATTGGTGGTCAGAGGTAACTAAAATGTTCAAGTCCACACAATGAATGTTGTTTTGGGAATTTAAGCTCATCTGCCCGACTTAAAGCACTTAGACATTTCTGTTATCCTAGTGCTTCTCATTCTTTTCCATGAAATAGCACAGGAAAGTAAACCTCATAGCATAACCAAAAATGGTCCATCAAAGGTATAATTTTAGATTTTTATATTTTGTATTAAAACTCATTTAAAATTTATATTCTACTCTATAACATATCCTACTCATAGTTGCATGAAAGATTTTTTAGTTATATATGCTACTAAAAATAATTTTTATTTTTCTCCTTCGTCAATGGACCACATACAGCTGCAAAAGGATCATTCTGGAAAAGGGGATGTTATTTAGGGAGATCTGGCACTGCGTACCTGGGCACCTGTATAATCCTTGTCTTTAAGTAAAACTGCTGCTATAGGTCAGCTTTACTATGTCACTTCCTGTGCCACTGGGCGCAACAAGTGTTCCCTACAGTGTCCTGAAATGTTCTCATTTACCCAGTATGGATTTTTTCATAACACTGTCAGTAGGGCCTTGGAGAATAAATGCAAACTATTCATGACTTTCTCTTTGAGAGTTTTAGAAAATTCATTACAGAATATCAGTTATCTGAGTACAATTTTCTAGATAATGATTATGTGGATTACTTTTCTAAAAGAGAGAAGAGTACCTTATCACGGACTACTACATGAGACACTGGGTACATATACTTAGTTCTTAGTACTGAGCAAGCTAAGTGGATCATTTTATTAGCTGTTAATTCTGTTTTAGCTTTTTATTTTTTGATTTCAGTTTTGCCATTTGGTTATAATTTGAGTATACCCAGTACTTTTAAATATTAAAAATACATGTCACTGTATATATTCTTTTCATTAGTATCAACATAAATTTTAATGTTGACAATAGTGACATTTTGATCTGTACCAAGATACCGTATAGTATTGAATCATCATGAAATTAATATTCAGAAAGTCTTCTGAGTCCTTCATCTTGTGTCACAAGAAAGGAGAGAAAGTATCCTTAATTTTTATTTCTACTCTAAAAAATATTTTTCTATTTTATTCCTTATGAATTTTTATCCTTTTCCTTCTTGAACATCCGTTGGTGCTTCTGGGATATCTTGAATTCAGTATATCCGTATAGAGTTTAACAAAAGTAATTTGTGATTATAGCTCATAGAGTAGATTCCCAGAAATAGTCCTTTAGAATTTTCCCTAAAGTGCCAATCTACTTTAAACAGATGTTAATGTATTTAATTTTAAAAATTATACAAATAGTAAAGGTTTGTGAGAGTCAGATAATATCAAAGTATGCAGAATAAGCCTCCTCTTCTCAAGTGTTTATTATTGTTAGGAGCTTGGTCAGTGACCTTCTAGTCCTTTTTCTTTGTGTTTACCTATGTTTGTATTTACATTGAAATAGTTTATATAACAAAATAGACCAGTTTTAAAAGCAGATATTTACAGTTGTCTTGTTTCAACTCTGTCTCTCTCTTAAGACTATAATACTGAATTCTTAACTTCTATTGTGTTCTATTGAATTGTTTTTTGTAGGTTTTGTTGTATACATTCATGATTTTCTTTTTCATTTTCAGGTAACAATTATGGAATTACAGGTAAGACTAGTTCAGCATTGAATGTGAATGGTCATGTACTTTCAGGAGCAGTCTGTGCCTTAAGCTAAAATCTAAAGAGACTATTTTAACAAGGAAAAATTTCCCAAGCGGTACAGAAATGTGTCCAGGTAGTAATGAAACCCTAATGGTTATTAAATCTCACTTTTTTGTTCTTTCAGACACAACTAGCACAGAAGACAACACTAATCAGTGATTCAAAGTTGAAGGAGCAAGAGTTCAGAGAACAGGTACAGGTCTACTTGTCTGATGAATGCCTTTAATTTTGAATTTACTTCCTTAATTATGTTAGTATATATTTGAGTTCATTTAACTAATATTAAAAAAAAAAAAACTACTGATTTAATAGGTGCCTTTTTGTCTTAATAGGAAATTTTATTTCCAAATCCAAATTTTGTTTTCAAATCCAAAGATGCTAGAACATAGCTCTTTAAGTTCAGGATCACATATATTTAAATAGGAAAATTTGCATTCTGTTATTTTCTAGTTAATATTTGGTCAGTAATTTGTATTTCTCTAATTTGTAATAATTTATGGGTTTTTAAAAATATTATTTATTTTTTTTTGCATGTAGCTTCCCAGTTTTCCCAGCACCACTTGCTGAACAAATTGTCTTTGTTCCATTGTATCTTCTTTGCTCCTTTGTCAAAAATTAGGTGTCCATAAACTCGTGGGTTTATATGTGGGTTTTCTATTCGAATCCACTGGTCTGTATGTCTATTCTTATTCCAGTACCATGCAGTTTTGATTATTATGGCTTTGTAGTACAGCTTGAAGTTTGGGATTGTAATGCCTCCATTTTGATTTTTCTTAGACATGAGGGTTTTGGCTATTCGAGGTTTTTTGTTGTTCCATATGAATCTCATCAACATTTTTTCTATTTCTTTGAAGAATGTCATTGAGATTTTTATTGGGATGGCATTAAATCTGTATATTACTTTTGGCAAGATGGCCATTTTGATGATGTTAATTCTCCCGATCCATGAGCAGGGGATGTCTTTCCATTTCATGGTGTCTTCTTGTATTTCTTTTAACAGTGTTTCGTAATTATCTTTGTAGAGGTCTTTTACCTCCTTTGTTAAGTTGACTCCCAGGTATTTGATTCTTTTTGTTTTAATTGAAAAGGGGATTTTTTTTTAATCTCTGTTTCTTCTGCTTGGTTGTTTGTGTATAGGAAAGCCTCTGACTTTTGTGTGTTGATTTTATAACCTGCTACCTTGCTAAACTGGTGGATGGTTTTGATTAGTTCCTCTGTGGAGCTTTTAGGGTTTTCCATATAAATTAACATAACGTCTGCAAGTAAGGATAGTTTGACTTCTTCTTTCCCTAATTGGATTCCTTGTATGCCTTTTTCCTGTCTTATTGCTCTGGCTAGAACTTCCAGTGTTATGTTGAAGAGTAGTGGTGATAGTGGACACCCTTGTCTTGTTCCTGATCTCAAAGGAAAGGCTTTCAGCTTTCAGGATAATATTGGCTGTGGGTTTATATTAGATGGTTTTTATCACTCCATTCCTTTTATGGTTGGATAAACTGTTGTACAAATGTTTGTGTTGTTTCTATTTTTTTGGCTATTGTGAATAGTGCTGCTAGAAACATTTATATACAAGTTTTTGTTTGAACTTCTTTTTCTAATTCTTTGGGGATACCTGGGAGTGGAATTGCTGGGTTATAAGGTAATTGTATGTTTTACTTTTTGAAGAACCATAAACTGTTTTACATATTGACACCATTTTACATTTCCCCCAACAAACTATATAGATTTCACTATCTTCACTTCCTTTCTAACATTTCTTTTTATTATAATCACCATAGTATAAAGTGGTTTTAATTATGACTTCATTATATATTCTGAGCTTTTAGTGTTACTGAGAAATAATTTGTGATAATATTATTTGCCTATATTTTATCTTTGGTTTAAAAAAAATTAGTGGATATACAGCAACCTTATATCTTTTATGTCGATTCATATGATTCACATACTATAATTTGAATATTTGTTATTATTATAGATTCACAATTTAGAGGACCGTTTGAAGAAGTATGAAAAGAATGCATATGCAACAACTGTGGGTACACCTTACAAAGGTAAGAATGATTGCTCATGTGTTATCCATGGCTGTTTCTTACTGGTGGCTTTGTGGATATTCTTGCATGTATTGCAATTTATTCTTTTGCTGCTGCCTATTATTTCACTGGCTGGTGAACCATAAATTTATTATCCGTCACAGTTGACAGGCATTTAGTCTGTTTTTGATTTTAGACTACTATGACTACAGCTGTCATAAACATTCATGTTAATGTCTTTATGTAATGCTAAGAGTTTTCATCTCTCTTGAGTAAATTTCTACAAGTGGAATGACTAGGTTTTATAATGTTTGATAGCTGGTTCAGTGAATTAATGTGCAGTCATTTGAAAAGTATTTTTCACCATTAATGTTTTGTGTCTTCCAAGAATTTTCCTAGCTCAAGATTATAAACCTTTTTAAAGTTCCAAAGTTAGCTGGTCACATTTAAGCCTTTCATCTACTGCAATTGATTTATGTGTGTGTATCTCTTATAGGATTCTAGTCTAGGTTACATAGCCAAAAATTGAAGGCTGTTATTCTTGGAAGTTAATTTTGTTAACAAGGTACAGAATTCTAGATTGAGAATGGTTGTTTTTCTTAGTACTTGGAAATTAAGTACTAAGAATTATTTTGAATTTTGTTATTGTTGAGGGATTATTCTAATGATTTGTTAATGATCTTTATTTCTCTTTGGTTGACTTTAAAAATCTTCACTGGTCTTCTATAATTTCATTATGTTGGGTTAAATTTCATTGGATTAATTTTATTGGTGTACCTTGTAGTATCTGTATTTGTGGATTCTAATCTTTTTCAAGGGAAAAATGCCAATTTTTATTATATATGCATAAACTTTAGTGCATGCATATACAATAAAATCAGTGCAAGAATGATTTTGTCCCTTTGATTGTCTTTTCTCTATTTTATATATTATGTAGTTTATCTTTATAATTTGAACTGGTTTTTTTGTTTGTTTGTTTGTTTGACAGGTGGCAACTTATACCATTCTGATGTTTCACTCTTTGGAGAACCTACCGAGTTTGAGTATTTGCGAAAAGTGCTATTTGAGTATATGATGGGTCGTGAGACTAAGGTATAAACCATATCTGTTGATTTGGCATGTGATTTACTTTAAAAGGAGATATGTTTCACTTTTATTAGACATATTGATGTTTACTGTTAGCAGACCTTAAATGCTAACAGTAGACGATAGGTAATTGTAATAATGTTTTTAGTTTACAAAGTGAATTGGCAGATCTTGCCTATATTTGTTGCTTTTATCATTCATTTAGATACTATTGGATGATGCTAAATACTAAAATTTAAATTTGATTAACTGAACACTTTGTGACCATGTATCTTTTATTTACTTCAGATCTTAAAGTTAAAAGGATAATTTTATTTTCATGGAGACTTTAGGATAGTATGGATAGTATTGAAAGTGGTCATAATTAAGAGTGACTACTCAAGGATATTTAGAAATGCTTTACTCTAGTCATTATAAGAAAATGATTCCTGCACAAATGGAATACTGACATTAAAGCATTACTAAACTGTTTAAGTACTAACATCTGGTTAATTTGTTTTCTATAATGTTATTTTTATTGTTAGGTCCTTTATTGTAGAATCTTGGCTTATTCTTATTTGTATCTCCTGTAGTGTTTTTTTTTTTTTTAAAGATTTATTTATTTGTGCATACAGAACTGGGGTACAGGCCAGAGGCTCAGGGGCAGCGAGAGGCTTCATCAGAGACTGAGTGGGGAGCAGAACAGGCAGATCGACGAAGTACACTGCTGAGGGCTGCAGCGGGCGGGTCAGGAGAGGTCTGCCACGCCATGTGGTCACCTCCTGGGCAGGCGGGAATCGAACTCATGCGGAAATGGCTCTTGCTTCTCAGTGATATGCTTTAACCCGCTGCGCCACCAGGGAGGGCCCATTTCCTAGTGTTTTAAAGAGAGTTGGATATTTGGTAAATATGTCTTGAATTGATTGCAGTTAAGAAAATTCATGAGTCTTTATTCAAACAAAACTTCATTTGAAGAAATTTTTGGTTTTAACATTGCTAAAACTTTTTTACCTTCATGAATTTTATATTGCCCATATACTTTGGATGAGATTGCGATAATGAGTTTTCTATTCTTAGAAGCAATCAGTGTTCAAACTTACGGGTCTGTGAGGGTTACTGAGTAACAGTGTGCTAAGCCAATTCAGGGATTGGCTTGGCAAATATATTTATACCTTAAAAACTAAAAATATTTGAGAAAATCTCTTAAAAGAATATTATGAATTTATAGATTATAGATTCAGCTAAACACCACTAATTTTAAGAGTAGAGTCATTGAACCCTTGACTTATATAGAGATCTCATTTCTTTGTATCAGATAATTTCAAATAAAAGTGATAAGCAGTTTAAATTAAAGTCATATCCAGCTTGATCATGCACATTTATAATAGGAGGGCTGTAGCCACAGTGATTCAGTATCTTTTTTTCTTATGAAAATTTTTTTAATTCAAAGGATAACTAAAACTAATTTTCTACTTATCTTTTAAAAACAAATCTAATACAATATGTTTTCTCTTATTTTGTCTTTATTGGGTAGTAGCTTGCATTGGAGGTGGTGCAGTTCATTTAGAGCTAACTTGTTACCACGGGAATGGGGTAGGAAGGACATATTTAAAAAAAAAAAATCCTTTAGAACCTAGCTACTTTGCTTATTTCATGAACCAAACATTGTTTCCCCAGTGTTGTTGCTAAATATATTATTTAACCTTTTCTTGAGGAGACTGATTTCCTCAACCTGTTTCTTCTGGAGGTTGTAAAGTGTATGTAGGTTGAGAACTCCACAGTTTGAGTCCTTCTGAAGAAAGAAAAGCGTAAGATGCATTCTGACATAGTGCCAGTTCAACCAAGTCTCAACTTGTACTGTTAGGGTTCTTCAGTCACTTTCAGGGTTTGATTTGGCAAAAGCTGAAAAGGATGTCCTTGAGGTACAGGCAATCCTATCTAACACCAGCTGGGAATCCCTGTTGGTGCTTTCTCTAGCCTTAATTTTCTGTATTCAGTGTGCTTTCCTAGTTACTGAAAATGTAGAATGGTCTATTATTTTGCTATTACATATTATCAAAGTAAACTTTGAGAATTGATAGCAGATACTCAGTTTAACTTACTGTTATTTGAGTACTTAGCTACATGTGGCCCGTTGTTTGTCATGATGCATAAGGAGATGAAATCTGGCTCTGCCCTGACTTAAGAGTTTACCATCCAATACAAATGTGAACCTATTTTCAGCTTAATGTGATACAGAATGTATTAAGGCAGTCACAGAGTTTTCATATTTATTTGTAGAAGTGTCAAGGAGGACTTCATAGAGGAGGTTTGTTTACTGGACTTTATAAAAAGGGGGCTTAGATTTTGATAGGAGACGCAGAAAGGAGGGGGAGTCCAGACAGTCTGTTCCAATTAAAACAATGAAGTTATCAACAGTGAAAGTGATTCTGCTTAGGAGAATACAGATTGTGGAAGACTGGAAATGATTTCTGTGCTTCACCTGTAGGAAGTGCGGGGCTAGTCCTAGAGCCTTTTGAGCAGTGTGGACAAGATCAGAGCTGTGCTGTTTAGCTCAATCCCTACATGTTAACAAAAGAATCTGAAATCTGAAGACCAGGTTGTAATTTAGAATGAGACAGTATACTGTGACCTTTGTGATTTGATCATCTGTAGTTGTTTCTGTCCAGCAGGAGTTGTTTCTTCATCTGGTTTTGCAGTGTTCTTATCTTAGGCAGATTATTAGTCTTTTAAAAAGAGGACCACATGTAGAACACACATTAGTACTTCTTTCTTCTGTACTTACACTTGCTTTTTCTTGGAGTTTGACAACTTCCATGCTATTATTGAGATTGAAATTCAGCCTATTCTCCTTTTCAGTAGAAAGTGTTTCTTATCCTAAGCTTTATTGAAAACCTGGCAGGAGAGGCGACTTCTAAACCAGGCTCTCATCCTCAGTTCCTAGGGCCTGAGGCTATTGTATATAGAATAGAAAGTCTGATTTCTTTCCTAAGGTATGACAGAGCGCCTCAGCCTCTCCATTAAAGTGTTTTCTGGCAAGTGAGTGAAGAGTTGTAAGTCTTCACTGGGTTATCAGTGGCAAATTCTGGATCTCTGATGAATCTAGAGGTGGGTCTCCCATTTAACATTGATAAGAAATTGGAGGGAAAACTTAGTCACAGATTCTTTTGTTTTTGGACAGACATGCATATGTGTGTAGTTTCAAACTGATTATGAATGGACTTTTGGATTCTTCTACTTTCATAAGCTGTTGAAATTAAAGAAATGTTTTCTGTAATTGTGCCTCTCTGATTTTTCTATTTTGGTACTTCTTTTTTTAAACTTATTTATTTATGCATATAGAACAGGCCAGAGGCGCAGGAGCAGTGAGAGTATTTACCAGAGACAGAGTGGGGAGCAGAGTGGGCAGGTTGACAAAGCACACTGCTGAGGGGAGCAGTAGGCGGGTCAGGAGAGGTCTGCCACGCCCTGGCAGGGATTGAACTTGTGCTACAGCGACTATGGTTAGCTTCATAGTGCTGTGCTTAACTTGTTGTGCCACCAGGGAGGGCCCTATTTTGGTACTTCTTAAAGATAATCTTCTTGAGCATATACCAAAAACCATTTAAATTGTGTTAATAGAAAAATATAAAAAATAGTTATTTCATAGTTATCTTGCCATTACATGCCACATATGCTTGGAATTCTACAAGAACTAAGTGAATTATTTTGTAGAGATATCTTTGTTTTTGTTTCTGATTGATGTACATAAAAACTAAAAACTTCATTGCCCAATACACTTAACTTTTCTAAGGAACAAACACATCTGATGCATTTATGATATTCTTTCGTTTACCTTTTAGAAAATGTTACAGTGCATGTATATTCTTAAGTAGTAAGTTTTAAATGGCTTCTTATCAAAATGGTTAGGGCAAACACAAAAGGAAGGAAGGGGCTGGAAACTAAAATCTTGTTTTGTGTGTGGTTTGTGGTTGAGGAATCGTTCTAATTGAACAGTTGAAATAGTATTAGAAATATGTAAACCTACTTGCCTAGGTTTCATTCATAATAGAAATTTAAAAAATGTTGGATCCTTCCCTTCCTGGGAACTAATTACACTTTTTCCCCCTAATGGTATGCATTTCCAAATATTTTGTTTAACTCTATTTAATGTCATCTTTTCCTTAATGGCCTTCTTCAACCTCCTTCCCAACCTTCTCCCCTTACACATGTGCACAGTCTGTGTAACAGTGAACAAACGTCCCATCCTCTGTAGGAATTCTCAGGAGAGCATTAGCACCTGAATTTATATGTAAGCACTGAACTTGTTATCCTACTTATTTCATAAGTGGTATCTTCTTTCCTCTCTGTTTCCCTCAAAACATCTCACCTTGATACAAAATAGGGAATTTCAGCCTTTGAGGAGAATTTTCCACGAACTTATGGGTGACAGTCTGACTTACGGTATATTTATTTAGATCTGCACAATTTATGATCTTGTTTTGCAAGCCACCATGTGTAATGTTTTGATTCATCATGTTTCTTACCAAACAAAACATCTTGTGTTTATTTAAAATGTAATTTGTATTTCTATTAGGCTGATGTGCTGCATGTCTTAAAATTTATCTATTAAGCATGTTCATGTTCATGCAGTAGCCCGTGTTTATGAGATATATGATGTGATCTAGTTAAAGCTGAACTTGGGAGTATCTAATTCTGATTATTTAAAGCGTATATTTTGGCAATACATCAGTTGCTAGATAGATTTCTATAAATAAAAAGCCTTTTAAAATGAATAATAAAGTTTCATCTTAAGTCTAAGGATCATATAGAAGTTTCTATAGCTTCATGCTATTGTAAATGCATCTTTTTAAAAGAATAACCCAGATATTGTGAGGAACACTTTTCAATTCAAATTCTAGTGTTGACTCTTAGTTCCTTGACTAATATCTTCACATCATACTTCTTTGGTCGTGGCTTCCATTGAGAGCACTAAAGAATCCCACCAGCAGAACATGTCAGAATGGGTTGAAACTTATCTGCATCACTGTCTTTTAGTTATCATCTCTTGCTTTTCTTGTAGACCATGGCAAAGGTTATAACCACTGTACTGAAGTTCCCTGATGATCAGACTCAGAAAATTTTGGAAAGAGAAGATGCTCGGCTAATGGTAAGCTTTTCAAGTAGGCTGTAGATAGAATTTGACTTAATCTGGCTTTCATTGTCTCATTCACAAAGACTTTGAGTTGGTAAAATTCATAAAAAAATTTTAAGCTACATTTTAATATAACCTAAAAAATGAGAGGGAATCTACACTAAGAAATTTTAACCAAGGGCATACATGAATGGAGCCTTCAAGAAAAGAATAACCTTATTTAATATCATAGGTTGAGGTTGACACCCATATGTGTTCTATGAGCTCTCCAGGCTTGGGCTATTTTTGGAAGGATAGAAGAGCATTTGTTTTGGCATATCTGGTAATAATTTTAAATGTCAAATTTTATCATAATTTATGTTTTATAGATTACAATATACAGTATACAGCTATATATCATAATATACAAAATACTTATTTTAGTTGATTTTCAGATGTAATAATTCTAAGTGAGAGAATCAAGCAACTTTGATATTTGACAAGGGGAATGTAGATAAGTTTTTATTTTTTTTTAAGATTATTTATGTATACAGAACTGGGGTACAGGGCAGAGGTACAGGGATGGTGAGAGGCTTCACCAGAGACAGAGTGGAGGCAGAACAGGCAGATTGACGAAGTACACTGCTGAGCAGTGGGCGGGTCAGGAGAGGTCTGCTGCACCATGTGGGTCAGTTCCTGGGCGAGGATCAAACTCATGCTGAAGTGGCTTTAGCTTCTTAGTGCTGTGCTTTAACCTACTGCGCCACCAGGGAAGGCCCGGAAATATAGATAAGTTTTTAGAAACATTTAATGAGATCAGCTGTGACTGAAATGAAACAAAGACACATTTCATAAATTATGTAAAATCCCCATGGCCTAACTTTTTTTTTTAACCCCAGTAATTTTTACCCTAGTAATTCACTAGGAAGATCCATTTTAAACAAAGTATGAAAGTTAAAGTTTTGCTGCTGGCTCTTTTTGTTGCTTTTTCTTGTTTTGTGAGTAGCATCCTCCTCCTCTTCCAATTTTTAAAATTACCTATTTCATGATTTTAGTACTGCTTTTCTTTCTCCTCACTAAAATAAGCAAAGATCTCCTTAGTAATGGACTAGCTTTTGTCTTAGTACTTACAGACAGGACTAAGTTAATAAGTAATTACTTTCCAAAGTATCCCATCTTAACCCAACAGACTGTTTGAACACAATTCTCCCTTTCTCTAACCCTCCAAATGCAGAGATGACCTAGATGAAAGGCTTTCCCATCTAGGCTAAAGGCCCCAATATTTACAGCCGTTTTTGAAGTTCCTTTACTCTAACTCTAACTCGTAGAGGATCAGTCTCCTGGCACATTCTGAACCTCCTGTCAGGCCACCTAGCATTCCTGATCTTTCCCCCCAACATTTAGATTTCTAAAGACAGTTGCAATTATTTTGATTGGCATTTAATTGTTAGTTTGTAAAGCATTCTTTCTTGGTATCCAAAGTTTCAACCTTGGTATCTCTAAGATTTCTTTCTCTCTAAAGTGTTAATTTTAAAATTTAAAGTTTCTGATTTGTTTCAAGTGGCAAAAAAACTGCTTTATTATAGTAGACAGAAGTTAGAAAATGCATATGTCAGGTGCACATACTATTGTCTTCCCTAGAGCCGCCTTTTCCCCCTCTTGGTTTTTAGTTTATTGTGCCTGGAATTTCATTTGTGATGGTATTGTGCCTTAGGTGGCCAGAATAGACTTCGTATCCAGGTAGCAGCTAGGGGAGTGTCAGTGCAGAAATTTTTAACTTGTCTAATTTTTTTTGCTGATTAAAACTGCCCTAGAAGTAGACTGTCAGATTATTTTAAAAGAGAGTGTTACTTATTTAGAATTTCATTAAGAAAATTTATTTTAATGACATGCTAAAGCATCTCATAGAGTCGAGAAATTCTTTTGTTCCATAGAAATCTTTTTTTTCCAATTTCATTTTTTTATTAAGGTGACATTAGTTAACAACACTATATATGATTCACAGGTGTAGGCCCACACAGTTGAGGCGTAGGTTCCTACACCCACCACCGAGATACTCACAGTTACGCCCATAGACGGCTGCGCCTCCTCCTGGCTTTTATTCCCCCTCTGGTGGTCTCAAGTCTACAGTCAGAAAAAATCTGGTTTTAAAAGCTTTCTATTGTTATAAATATATTTTCTCTTCAGAATTGTAGCAAATTGAATGACTGTTTTACCTGGATGATGTTTTTCTTGATGATTCCATGAAAAGAAAAAAATTTCCCTTTTTTTGATGAAAAAAATCTGGTTAATTTTCATTCCCCATTCTTTCAGTTCACATTTAAACATTGATGTTCTTTGACAGTTTTTCCTTTGTTTTCATGCACATCTTTTATGTTGAATTCATCATCAGTCCTGGTCCTATATCTGTCTTGTGTTTGTTAGTGGTTCTCATTTTTTCACCCTTGGCTGGAATTTCAAAAATCTCCTCTTAATAAAATCATCAGAACTTTTCAGCATGATTATAGATATACAAGTTCCTCTCCGCATTGGAGGTTTCTTTGCATGGGCTCAGCAGATGCATGCCTGGTGGGTTCAGGGAGAAATGCGAAATAAAACTGACACATAGGGAAGAAGACTGCTCATATAAAACACACAGTTGTTAATCTTGAAAGTGGTTTTTGCTCTTGATGTTGTTAGAATTACGGAACAATCATTGCAAACAACTCAAGAACAAATTACAAAGAAAGGGAGCCTTGCATGATCATCACCCTTCAGACTATTTACCATGGCAAGATTGTCTTCATTAATAGTGTGGAGAATATCCCTAGCTTTTCTGTTTCATAAGTGTATATTTATAATTAAGCCATATCACTTTGTGTTTTTTATTAAAATGACAGTATGTATCAACTTGCTTTCTTACTTAATTTACATTTTTATATTATTCCACCTCATGATAAATTTATCAACTTCAGTTTTTGAATGGTTCATTATATAGTTATGTGGATACCCTATAATTTAGTTCAACAGTTTCCTCTTCACAGATACTTTTGTAGTTTCCATTTGTTAGTATTTACAAATGTAAACAGAGGGAACATGTGTATACATTTAAAATGCATGCTTTTGCAAGTTTTCCAATAGGATATTAACTTCAATGTGTTACACATGTTATTTTTTAGTTTGCATTTTGATCTTGTTGCCTTTTACTAACTTCACATTAAATATAAAAGATAAAGAGAATGATTCTGTGGTTGATCACATTAAGAACAGATTCAGATATTATAAACAACTCTTTACTGTTTGGTTTGTAGCTGCTGTTTTAAATCAAACCATGAAGCTAATTAATAATTTTGAATTATGATCACCTTAAAGTAGAACACAGATTTATTTAAGAAGGTGGCTATAGCAAAAGCTACATTTGAAATTGTGTCCCTTTGAATTTGGTTTGGGTCATCATTTATGAAACCCTTCCTGATTAATTGCTGAATTGCAGGAGAGTTTTGTGATAAAATTAGTTCATTTTAGGAATGACAGTTATAGTGTAGTGATTATGTAAATCAAACTTTAATGTACGCTGTAATAGAAGATACTTTTAAAAAGCAAATAATTAATCTAGCATGTAACTGTGTACTAAAAGTGCTAAGTACTTCTCTAAATAAGTTGTTTAAAACTTTAAGGTTACAAGTAATATCTCAGTTACATAGTGTTGTATTTACGTAGGATGAGAGGGAGATATAGAGTCCCCACATTTTGTCTAGACTCCCTTAAGGAAAATTTAGCAACAATCTGTTTAATGCTGCAAAATTCATATATACCTATAATCTGTGTTAATATTAAGTCTTAAAACTAACCCAATAAGCTTTTTTTCTTCCTGGCTTTATAGTATACTTCACCTCGCAGTGGTATCTTCTGAGTAAACCATCAGTCTGTGCTTAGTTAGCATGTGGTGAGTGAAGAATAACGTGTCTTGTGTCTTTTGTGCAAAAATCAAATGTATTGCATGATACTAACCATTTTGTTGGAATTCTTTTGTTCTCTTGATTAATGACTATATGATTGATTATACTGTCGCTTAATATAGGCATCTTCTATTAGTTCTGTTTTATGAATTAATAATATATAGATTGATAGTCACCACCAGTAAGAGTTATGTAATTCTAGGAATTTTAGTTCTTTAAATACTAGTTGAAGGTTTTAAAATTGTACTTTGAAGTTTTGTTAAAGAATCCACAAAAAGTATTTATGCATTTTATAGTCCCCTTTTTTACTTCTCAAGAACAGTCTTTGAAATTAAAGATTGTGAGAACAATGACAAGTTATATCTTGGATACAAGTGATATATTTCATGACTGTAGAATTTAAAATATTGTAAAGTATACTTAGATTCGAGGCTAGTCAGAAATTATGAAAGACCAATAAGGTTAATTTAAAAATAAATAACTTAATACTACTTAGAAACATACAGTTTACCAGATGTTTATCCTGAGGAGACTCTCAGGCCCCGGCTATAATTGAAAGTGGCTGTTTCTCATTAACATTATTACAATGAAGCGGAGGCATCTAAAATGTTTCAATAAGGCTAGCTGTCTTTACCATTTAATCTCCACCCCCCCCCCACCCCCCAGTCTCTGCATGCCAATAGCTTGGCTTATTAGCATTGCCTAAAATTTAGGGTATATATTTAACTTAGACTTTACTAGAATTTTCACAAATCACAAATAAGCTGATCACAATAAACTTAATTACAAGTAAAGATTGTGATTATTCTAGCACTCAAGAGCAGTATCAAGCTTTAACATGCAATACAGTTTAACATGCAATGCAGTTTCTCTCAAACCTGCTTTAAAAACCTTTTATGCCTATATTGGAATCTCATTTTGATTTTAATAAATATCAATTTTAGTAATAATCTCAAATTTTCTTCAATCATGCAATTCTATATTAATGAAGCAAATCTTAACATTTTCCTTTTTTAAACATTACATCGTGCATTGCATCACTGCATTGTATAATGTGTAGTACTTGTCTCTCTTCATTTGAAACATAAGATTTACAAATAGAATACAATAGACATCTAATCTCTACTTATATTCATCAATTATTACCATTTGCTCACATGCTCTCTTTTTCTCTCCATACACATTTCCTCTTTGTTAACATTTGACACTTAGTTGCAAATATAAGCTAAATACTTAAGCAAGTATCTTTAAAAACAAGGGCATTTTCCTACCTACTCGCAATACAATTATCATTCTTGGGAAATTTAACATATTAACTAGTATATAGTAAACATTCATATTTTTCCAAATAATGTAGTAATGGTACATTCTAGGACATTGCATGTTACTATCATGTTTTTTCTGGCCTCTTTTAAACTAGCAAAGTTCTCCCAGCCTTTTTTTTTTTTTTTGGTCTCTCATGACATTGACATTATGCAGAATCATTATTCATGCAGGAAATCTTTTTCCCACAACAGCTCAAGCTAAGGTTTCAAAGTAATAACTGACAAAAGGATTTAAATATGACAGAAGATCCTGTTCTTATCTTCTCTAGGTTTCTAGCACCAACATGCCTGTTGAGCTAGTTTTATGAGAAGTGGATTGTATATTTCATTTACAAACTGAAAATACTTTAAAGCTGTCTTTTTCCACAAGATATATTTGGAAAGTTTTTCTCTAATTACTTAACCTTATTTAGTTATTTCTCTTAATGGTATTTTTAACCTCTAACTTAACCTAGCTGTTGACTTTTAATCAGAGAAACCTTACTGGGAAAATTTGGCATCATTTCTCACAGCATTTTAAGTTTTAGAAATTAATTTCAGATGAGGCATGACTTGTCATAACCAAACTGCTGCTTGCGCTCTTTTGCCATGCATATTAAGATGGGACACTTGTAATGTATAGAAAAATCAAACACTTTAAAGGAAGAAGGGAGAATCTTTCTCTTCTTTAACTCCAGTCTGAATAATTGCATCCATCTGAGATTCTGCTAAGTCAACATGCTGACTCCTGGGTTTCTCTAATAATGACTTGGTAGCATTCAATATACGGTGAAGGGTTACAGTGACCAATGACACTAAACTGTTTTTCACGATTGCTGATTAAAGATCTGATCATTACTTTTTGGAAGATCTCTTTAGGATTTAATATTTAGACTGTAAAACCTAAATTTCCAGTATGACTTTCTTTTAACTTGAAAAAAGCAAACCTTCCAGAAAACTGACTCTGAAAGTTTTCTTTCTTCCTTTACCCTCTTTTCTTTTCCAGTCATGGCTCCGGTCTTCATCTTGAAGAAAGGGCGAATGATGTTGGGCAAGTAAGAAGACTGAACATTTGCTCATCTTTGAGAATGAAGCTGTTCTTCAGGGCCCCTCAGATAGCCAAAAGATCAAGAAAAATCTGACATTGGCCCACAGATATATTGCAGACTGCCTTTAAAATAGATTGTATCAGTGGAGAATGGTGATAGTTTTTTTCTTTTTTCTTCAGATTTTTTTGTTGGGAAGAGTTTTATGTTTCTTAAAGGATATCTTGAATGACTTAACCTGATTTATGGGCTCACTTAATGTTCTTTTCACCCATTCTTCTTGACCCTCTTTTTAAAGAACTGCTTGCCTTTCCTATTTATTTTTAGGGTGATTTTTAAAAAAAAATACTTGTGCAATATATTTTGAGGTGAAACCTAGTAGATTTTTTCTGATAAATTAAAACATTTAATTGACTATTTTATCCAGATTGATTTGTTGAATATTTGCTAAAGACTAGTTCTTTAACCTACGACATATGAGAAATCCAAACAGCAGTACCTCATTGTTTACTTAGCTTTTGTACTTATATTTTCCAGAGGAAAAATACTACTGTAAATTGTAAATAGTCAATACATGACTGTATTGTATGCAAATCTGTGACTGTTGGCAGTGTCATCCTGGAGGAACAGAAAAATAAAGTTTATTTACTATATACAGTTTGCTTATTGTGCTTTTTCCTAAGTTGAAATATATATTAAAACAATTAAGAATTTAGGTTTATGTCTAGGTGAATATAATGAAGGACTATTTGCCCAGACAGCTGAATGTGGAGCATTTGGGAAGTTTTTTTTTTTTTTTTTTATCTCAGATTTGCATGTCCAAATTAGAAGACATGGAAGCAAGAAATACTTTGTGGTGTGGGTTGTAGGAGTCTTTCAACTTGGGGATGCTGCTTCCCTCTCTCTCAAGTAGACCATATTAAAAAACAAAAAAAACAGACATGTCTGGAAATCAAGAATTGGGACTGTTCAGAGGGTTTCACATACTGTTTACATTCTAGCAAACACAGTACCCGATACCTCGGTTAACTAACACCACCTCAGGTGGCACTTCAGTTAGACAGTCTGGAACTTAGCACTGCTAGTGTCTCTTGCATTGTGAGAAAGCGGGGAGCTCTGGAGAGTAGATGACCAAAGGTCTTCCTATAGCCCACAGCAGACTCCTTTGAGGGCTACTATTGTAGCAAGGGAAGTGGGTCCTTTTTTTCTTTCCTTTTTTAAAATCAGGTTTACTTAAATGCAAGTTTGTCCCACTGAAGTGTTTCTGATAACAGACATGACTTCTTACCCTTATGTCTTTCTCTAGGGAAAAATTGTGGATGCTTAGTGAAATCCAGGTACAGCTTTGCCTAGAGATAGCTATATCAGATAGTATAGGAATCAAGGAAGACTTTCTATAAAGGGCCAGAAAGGTAATTATTTTTAGTGTTCTAGGCCACATAGCCTGTCATAATCTGTCACCTTTCCCACTAATTTACAAAAAAAAGTCATAGTTACTACAAATTAATGAGCTTATCTGTGTCCCAGTAAAACTTTATTTATAAAAGGAGATGACAGGCTAGATTTGGCTCTCAGGTTGTAGTTTGTTAACCCTTAAGAAAGAAGCAAGTTGAAGTTGCTCATTTTTCTGTAGTGTGACCTGTTCCCCTCTTTCAGAAAAGGGGCAGTAGACGCAGTTCAGTTCAGTGAGAGAGAATAAAGCTTTACATTGTGTTCAGTGTCCACATCTCAGATCCTGTCTAGACCTTATCTCAAACATAAGTGTAGTCATGGTACATTCTAGGACATGCCCCTGCTTGATGACTGGCAATTGACAAGAGTTTTCCCAACCAAACTTAAAGGATATGTTTATATCATAGGCTTCAGTCTGCAAAGAAGTACCCTAGTTCTTTCTTGCAGACAAAGAAGCCAAAGTTTGTGATAGCTGAGGGTCAGCTCAAGACCACAGAGAGAGAGCTGTGGGCTGAGCATATAGATCCAGTGCTGGGACTCTGAACCCGAGGCTTTCTCCAAGACCTCATGACTGCAGCGTACACACAGCTTGATGCTGTACATTTATTGCCAAGAAATAAGCGCTTCACTTTGAAAGGATTAGATGCTGGCAAGATGTTACTTTAGCAAGTTTTTAGCCAAAATTGCACTTGCAACTACTGGCATGAATTTTTCAACCACTTTATTCAGGTCCCATGTGTGTGAATCATGTACAGAACTACCTTGTTGACTTGTGTCTACACTGGACTGCTAGGACAAAACTACTGTCAAGTGGGTAGCTTCTAAACACCACACATTTGTTTCTCACAGTTCTGGGGATGGAGAAGACCAAGATCAAGGCAGATTGTGTGTCTGGTGAGGACCCACTTCTTGGTTCATAGACAGCTGTCTTCACTGTAACCTCCCATGGCAGAGGAGATTCCTTGGGCCTCTTTTATAGAAACATTCGTCCCATCATGAGGGACCTGCCTTCATAACCTAATTGCCTTTCAAAGGCACCCACCTCCTAACACCATCAACTTGGGGCTTAGGTTTTAACATGGGAGATGGACCCCAAATGTCAATGGATAGCAACTTGAAAAGTATTGAGTTAGACATTCCTAAGTTAAAGGCCGGGAACATCACTTATGATTTTCTGATGTATAGATGTTTACTTTTTTCCTTCCAGAAATTGATTGGCCAAAAAGCAGCATAGAGGCTATAAGGACGCTTATGTCTTAGTCTTGCTGCAGGGCCCAGACTGTATGGCTTGCTGTATCTTTCTTATTCTTTTTGGTACATTTTTATTGGCCATAAAGGAAGACCCTGTCTTTCGGTTGATTGTGGGTGTATCTTACAATGTCCTTTTTCTGGTTTGTGGCTTCCTGACTTCTCACAGCAAATGGGGATCAAAAGTTGTAGGCTGAAATGCTAAAGTTCTTTATCTCTGGAAAAAGTAGCAACAGAAAAGAAATTTTGTTTTTCTTTCTGATTCAGAGAAAACTAGGCAAGTAGAAAATTTGGAGAATACATTTTTTAGAAAGAAAACAATTCTCCAGGATCCCCCACTAAGAAATCTTTATTATTACTACTTTCGTGCATGAATGAATGAAAGGAACAGGCTGTGTGCGCATGTGTGTGTTTGCGTGTGTGTGTGTACATAAACACCTGCATTTATGTGACTATAGGAGAGCTTTTAATATTCCTTGGAAGCTATTTTTGTATCTTATTTTATCCTGTGGATAGGCCATTATTTAACTAATTTCACTGCTGTTGAGCTCTTAGTAACACAATGTCCTTACTTTTCATGTTGTAAGCACACTTGAAAAAACTTCCCAAGGCCAACCTGTGTCTCTCAACAGCCTTTGGTGCCAAGCAAGTGGACACATTTCATATGTCTGTGTGCCAGGTTTGTCTGGCACTGTTTCTCCTAACATTCCAAAGATGTGATGTGGGTGAGTAGTCTGAGTCAGTGCACTCTCAGAACCCTGCAGTTCAAAACTGGACTACACCAAACTTGAATTGTGAAAGATGGATTGAAATAACAGTGCCCAAAGCCCTGCAAAAACAATTCTTAGATTGTGAAAAATAACACTGGTTATCTGTGGGGTAGGCAGGTAGGGAAGCGGAGCTGGGAGGGAAGGGGTTATGGCTTTGGCACCGGAGCTTTGTTGTGGAGGGTGAATGAAGCATGGAACATCTGGAGGTGTGAAGTGCTACTCTCCAAATTATATAGTTGGCAAATCAGTAAAATTTGAGAAAAAAGGGAAAAAGAAATATAAATCGGGGCCTACATGGGAAAGGACTGCCCATGGGTCTTAGTAAACAATATAGCCATTTGAAATTTATTGTTAAGTTTTTTGCTAAATCCCTAAACTTCAGCAATGGGCATGTCTCTCACACTTTTCTAATCACTCCCCTGCCACAGGAAGATTGTTTTGGTTGCCCCACACCAGATTAGGCTGCCTTCCCTCTTTAAAGGGGAAGTGTATTCTGTTTCCCCCTCTTCCACCTTTATCTGCTGGGAGTGGGTAGGACAGTCTTTTTCTTTCTTTTTTAAGATTTAGTTACTTATTTTTTAAGTATGGAGGAGTCTTCAATATAGGAGCTCAGAGAAAAGCACAGGTGTTTTGGGAGCAAAGAGCGGGAACACTCACCAAGCTTTGCCAGGATGCTCTCAGTCCTCAGGTGAGTAGGAAGGAAGCTGTGAGGCTGGGAGGCATCCAAGACAAGAGGACGAGAAGAACACGGAGGTAAAACGTGTAAAACTATGCAGGTGAGAGGTGCTGGCATGGAGGGTGTGAGGTGGGCAGGGGAGGTGAGGCGGGGGACGGACGGGCCTGGTGACCGAGGCCATGAGTCCCTGACTGGTTTTTTAGACTTCGTGCCGAGCACTGACGAGAGAGGACTTCAAATTAGTCTCATGTATTTTCAACTCAAAGTCATTTACCCCCTTCCTTCATAGTTCAGGGCCTATTCTGGGGCAAGGAATATTGCAACAGCAGTTTTTGCCAGAGTGGACTCTGAAAAAGGAAATGCACATGGGGTGTCCTTTGCTCAAGCTGAATGCAATGCATGGAGTAATCGGGGCCTCTTGCTTGGGGGCAGGAAGGGCAAGAAGGCGCTGCCTGGAGTCGTTTGTTTATAGTAGTTACATGCTTCCTATTGCTTGCTTTCTGGGCCCAGAGAATGAGGTTGCAGCCAGCTGGCCTTTGTCACCAAAGCCCACAATCTAAACAGCGTCACAGGCAAGAATTTAGACCAGATCCCAGACCCCTTGGCTCGCTGCTCAGCTCTTACTAGGATCCACGTGTGGATCCCACGCTAAAGATGGGAAGTCAGTTCATGTCCAGGCTGAGTGACCGCAGCCAAGCCAACTGATTAGAGAATAATCTAAAAAAGATCATGCCTTTCGAGAGCGTATTTCCCTTTCTTCCTCTCCCTCTTTTGGTTTGGAGATAGGTTTGAAAACTAGATGACAGATGCAGACTTACTGCCTCCCACAGCATCTCACAAGGGGCCCTAAGTGGACTTGCTCTCAGCTTCTGTCACTGGGAGATGTTCCTAGGAGTGTACTGTGTGGGAGGATCTGACATGATCGGATGTGGAGAATAGGTTCAAGTCTGAGGGTGGTTCGATGCCCCTAGAATGCCCGGAAGGATGCTGCTGCCGCCTGTTCTGCATCCATGACTGATAAACTATCGGTACTTGTTTCGGTAATCGGGTGCACAATCATCCTGAACCACCCAGAATGTGGTGGCCTAAAACAAGCACTTACCTAACTAAAGAGCACTGTATGTCAGTGACTCCGACTGAATCACGTTGGCCTTGGCTAGCCTCTCCCATCGCCGGGGATGATGGTGGGCTGTTGGCTAGGGATTCAGGGGGGGAAATCTGGCCCACATTTCTGTCTCTTCTATCGTTCCAGGAAACAGGTGGGTCATGCTCTCACCGTAAAGGTAGAAGCACAAGAACAGAAACAGCTTTCCGCTCTCTATGCACACTTGGAAGCATCTGCTTATCCCACCGCCTCGGCCTAGCTCAGAATTGAGAGGTGGGAAAATTAATACCATCTCTTGATAAGATTCAAAAAGTCATAGGGTAAGGATGACTTCTGTGAGGGAGTGAAGATTTGTGGTCCTTAATGTAAACAGTTTATCAAAAACCCTTTTTT